TTTCCAATTAATTTGATAATTTAAACAAGCCTGTTCATCTTGCAGGAAGAGTAATTCAAGCTGAGTGGAGGAGGTGATTTGAGAACTGAGTTTCATGAGTTTAACTTCAGGAGGCTGAGACTCATGCAGAGTTGGATTTATCTGTAATAACTTGTTGGACTACTTAGGACTATCGTGGGAAGGATGTGTTTGACCGGGTTCTTTCCTCTTTTGCTGCATTTTGGGCGTCGAGGGTGATTTGTACATTATAGGTTTTATGTTTTGCATGCTGCAACTATACCTAACTTTGAATTCTTGCGTTTTGCATGATTTCTTTTCGCTGTCCATATTGTAATTTTCTTCCCAAGTTTGTATGGTGATTAACTTGTACCTTTGTTTATGCTACTAAAGACATTGTTTGTGCATGAGAATAAGCTTGCTAATCTTATTTATAGCTTGGATGTTTTTCCCCTTTTATAGGGCAGCTAGTAACATGGATATTTTAAAGATCCCTTCAAAATTACGGCGAGCCCTTCCTCTGTGGGGTTTTGCGCATCTTGGTGTGTTTAGACATTATGGAGTCTATTAATGGATGATGAGATCGGCAAACTTGATTGTAAATGTTTGGCCCTGAATATTAGATGGCACCAAATTACTATTGATGTTTCGGTTAAATGAGGATGTGTCGGCCTGGTTAATGTGGCTTGGGATCGGAAGGTGAACTGATTGATGAGGATTCCCCACTAATGGTACAAATTTCGGCATAAAGAGTGCTTCAATAAATATTTACGTATTATTATTTACTGACAAAAAAAAAATTTCTTATCGCACCCTGCAAGATTCAAAGCCACATTCTTGTGAGTACAAGTGTTATTTTTCAGCAACTGAAACATTTTTTTAAATGCTAATAAGAAAGTTTAATCACTTGTCATTGACTTTGGACTCTGTATGAAAAAGAACTTTATTTCGAGAAATAAAGTTTATTTATGATCTTTATACCTCAAAATGAATTAGTTTAACTGTTGGTGAAGGCATATCCTTGGCACATCTAAAGAAAGGTCTAGGCTTCATATGCAGAAATTAAATAGATGGGGTCTGGATTCTTGTTCCGTATTTTTCTTAATTTAATTGTCACATGTAACAAAAATAATAAATGCATATTTTTGCAAGAGAGAGAGAAAATTAAAATTAAGATAGCAAATACGAGTTTCTGAACAAATCAACAAGTCGATTTGGATGACAACTCCCTTAAAAATTAAAATAAGAAGCCTATTTTGAAATCATTTAAAATTTTAAAAAAAATCCTAAATAAATCTCATGTTTACACATTCTTGTTATTTTGCCTTCAACTCACTTTTTTGAAGTTGTCATTTAATAGATCTTTGAAAGATGCATCAAAATGAGCAAGTCATATGCTCAAGATGATCTAGTACCCCATATATTTAAAGTACTAAAATTTTAAAATTTCCAGGGAAAAAAAGTCAGAAGTTCAGGCATCCGTACATCAATCCATGTGTCATACAAAATTAACAAGAAAGTAGAAACTACAATATTTAAAAGCCATGAATACTAAATAATATGACTGACCTTAGATTATGTGCAAAGCATAAATTCATTATGACCAATTTTTTCTCGAATAAAAAATAACTTGTCAAAATTTATGGTATTAAACTAATGGTAAAACCCAAACTAGCCTAATACATTTGTAAATGTGAAATAGAGTTATGAAAGCTAACCAACCTCTCAAATTGTATGCACTATTCAGTATCCACAGCTTCCCGGGGAAGTGAAAGACATGGAGTCCCTCGCAGAGTAGTTTGTACTGTGTTATGAGCTTAGCCGCCTATATTTCGCCAGAAAAACACACAGAAATAAATTCTACTATGTTGTGTTGTAGTTATAGAGCATGATCTATTTCGACCAAACTACTGCCTGAATCCTGCTTCTTTAGACCCATAATCTTCATTTCTCCCCTTAGTTCTTGCGTAAGACCCCATCCTTCCATGGCTGCGTGAAAATTAGACAGCAGTACATAATCCTCAATACTTTTAGGCGCAGCTTCATGTAAAATCTTTGCGACACGATGTGTTAATTCTATGTTACTTTGTCTTTGACATGCTCCAAGCAACATTCGCCACACTACGGTATCTGGTTTTAATGGCATTGCCTCAGCAAAGTCTAATGCCTCTTTCACTAGCCCCGCCCTGCAAAGAAGATCCACAATACTTCCATAGTGCTCCATCCATGGCTCTATATGATAGTCATTGATCATTGATTCAAAACATTTCAATCCCTCATCCACTAAACCTGCATGGCTACAAGCAGATAAGATGCTGAGGAAGATGACCCCATCTGGTTTAAAACCTTCTCTTTGCATCTGACAGAATCGGACTAGTGCCAACATGCCGTGGCCATGCCTTGCTAACCCATTGATGATTGTAGTCCAAGAGACTAGAGTTTTCCGCATCATCCCATCAAAAATTTGGCAAGCCTTCTTCATATTACCACATTTGGCATGCATATCCATTAAAGCATTTGCAATAGAGTGATTCTCTTTATTGATAATGTTCTTCTCTAGGTAGGCTTCGATATGTCGTCCAAGTTCAAAGCGTCCCAACTTGGAGCACATTGATATTAACTCTAACACGATAACCTCATCTGGTCTCATGTTTTCAGATTCCATCTTGGTGAACAAATTCAATGCGTCATGTGGACAGTTGTTATCAACATAGCCCTTGATCATTGATGTCCATGAAACCACATTTCTTGAAGGCATCAATTGGAAGATGAGGAGGGCTTTTGAGAGATCCCCACAATTGGAATACATTCCAATCAAGGCATTGTTGAGAAAAATATCACAATGGCGGAGCTTTCTGATCACATAACAATGTACTGCTCTGCCTTCTTTCAATGCTTTCATCGAAGAGCAAGAAGAAAGAACACTTGCTGCAGTCACCTCATTAGGCCGAATACTATTAATGACCATACTGCGCAAACCTTGAAGTGCTTTCAAGGGGAACCGCTTCTGAGCATATAAAGCAATAAGGGAGTTCCACATAACCAAATCTCTTTGGGGCATTTCATCGAACATTTGTTCCGCGTGAGAAATCCTATCGTACGACGCATAAATTTGCATGATGGCAGTTCGGATTATAAGCTCGTGCGAGAATCCCAGTTTGTAAACTTGAGCGTGCAACTGTTCCCCTTGAATTATGTTAATCTCGCACGCTTTGATTGCAAATAGAACGGTGTAACTATCAACCCTCAGGGCTCTTCTTCTTACGAGGGAATAAACTGAAAAGGCTTCTTCGGGTTTATTTGCCTCCAAATAACCTCTGGCGATCGTGTTCCAAGTGTAAGTATCAAGACCTTGAATACGATCAGCGATTGCACGGGCTATAGGAGTTGTGCCAGGAAGGGGGCTCAAGGCCGAAGAAGCAACAAGTTTGCTTGCTATAGAGGGCTTTCGAATGAGACCTGAAATGATTGAAAGGGCATGAATTTGATTGAGTTGCCGCTTCCCTTTGCATCTTTCCAAGAGGAAAAATAAGCTTTCGTAATATGGGAATTGAGTGATTCGAGCGGGAATGCTTCGACTTGAAACTGATTTTCCTGACATCTACGCATGTACAGCTGTAAAAGAATTGTACGATAAACTCTATCTGTAGTTGTCTTTGTGTTGAGGATAGGGGAGCATAATATCATCACCTGATGAGCACCAAACCGAGACTCGTGTTTAGATTACTCTAGTATTAAGCGATGAGATGTTTTGCTTCTGACTTCTGAGAAGTGAGAAGTGAGAACAGAATAAACGTTAAACATTAAATTGAAGGAATTGATATGGTTAATTTCTCGTGCACTTAAAAGAAAGACAAAGGTACCGGGACCTTATAACTCTAATACCAAACGTTCGCCTTGAGTTTTTCTTAGACGTAAGATTGTAAGGTCGAACAAGATATAATGGGAGCGTAAGTTTCGACCCAAAAAAGGGCAAAGTGAAAAAAAAAAAAAATCTTAAAATCTTGACTAGCTAACTGTTTATTTTAATAATTAAGTAAAAACACCTTATATCCAAAATAGTTATTGACATCCAAGATAATTCGACATCATCTGAAATGTAATAACCTTCTCTTAGCGTACCAGAACCTCTTGGTTTAATGGCGTTCCACACAGGAAAGAAACTGAATTTCTTGTCATTGCACAATTACGACTGGCGATTGTTACAGCAATGCAGAAACTGAAACCTAGTCCTAATTGATATGATGACGCATCTTGACGGTCATGATGATATCGCCAAGATCAAATCTTGAATCTACAAGTGAAATGGTAAACTCAAAAGTCAAAACTCCCGCACGGGACTATCAGCTAAGACGAGCCTACAGAAAGGGATGTACTTTGACACGCCCATTTGAAGGGAAAACACACCCCTCTTGTATCACCCCCTTTGGGATCTCATAGATGGCAATGGAGATATCACAGTGCCGCCACTTGGGTGACTAGATGACTTGCTCTCTGTTAAGCTATGAACATCTCCCAAAGGGCACCCTGCAGAAGAAGGGGCCGACCTCCGGCTCTGTCCAGCCGGAAGCTGTTCTAATGTCGCCACAACCTCAGACATCTGGGGTCTGATTTTGGCCTCACTGACACATTGTAATGCAAGGATTGCAGCTGCATAAGCAGCTCTCTGTGGGTACTGGCCTTCTAACTTGGTGTCCATAATCCTGAATAGCTTTCTCTTATCTCCCAAAAAGGACGATTTTGCCCATTCTACCAGATTTTGTTCCGCTCTAGATTTTGTTTTGTCAATGACACAACGCCCTGATAGCAGCTCCAAAAGCACAACCCCGAAGCTATAAACATCACACCTTGCTGTTAGCCGACCTGCTCAATGTTTAATTTGGCATCAGATGCAAGGAAAAGCATAGCCCTGCTTTGACATCCTTGTGAGGATGACGTTTATGAACCAGAGGTCAGGTGAGAGAGACTAGATTTTCTCGTTTGGAGTGGTAATATAATAACGATTGATGGATATGAAACTGCATCTCATCATTTATGAGCTGAAAATGTTACAGAAGCCACTTGATAAATGCTAATGTAAAACTGAAACAATCACTTCAGCAAGGGTTACGACCAGACAACCAGATTATTAATATAGGAACAAAGTTAGATGAGACAAATCAAACTAGAGACTAAAGAGATAGAAACCATTATAAGAACAGAAATTGACACATGTTCTCAATGTCTATGTAATAGAGACATTAATATGTAGACGGAAAATATCGAAGTTTAGATGCTGATCTTTAAGTCAGCTGATATGTCATTTCCAATTCGAGCTTTGAAAAATTTATCTCATTGCCAAGTTCAAACAAAGCTACGAGTGATATCCACAAAAGCATCAATTTAGAATTTCTGCTCGTAAACATTGGCAAAAGAACCTGAAAGATTTGTACCGACAAGCTTGACAATACAAATCATGCAAAAATCATACCAGTAGCAATATATTCAGGAGCAGCATAGCCGTGAGTACCCATAACTTGAGTTGAAACATGAGAACGATCACCAGTTGGTCCCGCTTTAGCCAGCCCAAAGTCCGATAGTTTAGCATTGAATTCCTGCGTTTGTCGACGACCCATATTCAATGCATTATAAAAGGAAGTTGGCTTTGTCCCTAATATCCTTCCTTCTAAGTTATTTTCTTTTATTTTCTTCTTCTTCTTTTTTTTTTTTTTGGAAAAATTTTTGCTAACTGTATTTCCCCCATTATAGATGCAGGAGGGTTATGGCAATCCCTTCATGTTTTACAAGCACCTTTCACCAAATACCACAATACGAAAGCATGCTTAGAAAACCTACCGAATCTAATAATACATTTGAAGCCTTAAAATCACGGTAGATAACTTGTGGATTGGAGTCATGTAGAAAGGCGAGACCACGAGCAGCACCAATTGCAACTTTGATCCTTGTTGGCCATGAAAGTGACTGGGAGCCCCCTGCAAGCAGAAGTTTCGGAGGTGGTGAACGCAAAATTTTGTGCCAACTTGGGTACCAGATAAAAGGCAATTTCTAAGATAATTGGTAGTTTAAAAATACAAATTTATCCGAAGTACAGCCAGTTAAGAAGTTTATTAATCTCTCAAAATTGTTCTGCAGGCATCCACATACTGTAAAATAGATGGTTCTCCAAGCTGCCTTTGGGCATGTACTCATATACCAGAAGTCGTTTGTCTCCATCTAGGCAGTATCCAATAAGTTTGACAAGATTTGGATGATGAAGTTGGCCAAGATAATTGACTTCAGACTGTGAATGAAGAAATTTATGGTAAGCATACAATATTTCAAGGAAAAGCAGCTGAAATTAAGTGTTAAGAAAAAGTACCTACCAACCACTCCTTATGCCCTTGAAAACCTTCAGGTTTCAACTTCTTCACGGCCACAACCATCCCAGATCCAGGCTTAGTAGCACTAAGGGATTGCTCATCAATCCACCCCTTGTGGACATCACCAAAGCCCCCTTGTCCTATTAGACTATCGGGACCAAAGTTTCTAGTAGCATTCCTAAGTTCATTAAATGTGAAGGCCTTCAAATTTAGTGAGGAAAGTATATCACCTTCAGATCTTTGGGCACTGAGAATCTGAGATTTATCTTCGTTGTTGTATTCAACCACTGATTGACTTGTACCGGAATGGGCGCTTTTACCGGGAACTTTTGAAGCATCTGCAAAATATTTTTCATTTAAATAAAAGAAGAAATTTTGTCGAGAGAAAGAGAAAAGCATGATATAAGGGCATGCATAAGAAATTATAAGAGTAAGAATAAGTAGGGAAAATAATATTCATCAGTGTCAGAAGAAGACTCATAGAAGTTTCAGTAGCTTGTGCTATCTCAGTTGAAGTTGTCTTTTCCATACCAAATTTCATCATAGAGACAAGCAAACAATCAGTCAACTGACTTGTTTATTGCAGTGAAGAAGGAGTGATTGATGGAGATGGTATTGATTCCAAAACCTCCAGAAAATTAAATCTTTAAAAATGCATTTGACAGAGCCATGTCCCAAATAATACTAATAACAATGATAATAACTACCGAGAACTTTGGAAAGAGCCACGTCCCAAATAACCAGCTTACAAGAATGGAGAGAACCAGGACACTATAAAAGCCTATATCAAAATCTCATACTTTCCATGCGAGAGTCAAGTAAGATACATTCATCATCACGATGGCATTTGTTTTTTCAATAGTCAGCCACATAATGCAAGAAACAGGGCACAAAAATGCAACTTTGGAAAAATAACAAAAGCAAAGTAGCCAGCAGGAAGAGGGAGCACTCTAAAGCAACATTAAGAAAAATAACAAGATTGGAAGAAAATTTATATTACTCAACACGAACTGGAAATAAGACAGCGATAGAATTAGGATCAGGACCATTCCCGTTTTCCGCACCAAAACTCAGCTTGAGAAGACGAATGCATTATAAGGCATTACCTTTATAATGCATGCATATAAAGAGGAGGGGAAAAAAAGACCCAGAAGAGATTGTTGAAACAGATGTACCACTAGTTTGATGAGAGCTGCGAGTGTAATCAACCTTGAGACGAGACCCGAAGCAATTTCCCATGAGACGAAAGAACCCACAAGAAATCCGCAGAAATATTCAATCCAGCTTCAATGTATCAAGCTTATTCTGTTGTCACTCTCAGAAATCTATTTATTTTAGGCTGGCATTCCCTGCATTCTGTCCTTCTCCCCCAATGCTCCAAGAGAAGAACAAGAAGGCAGAGATGACGGGAATACGGTTCTTTTGCGAATATATTATTTGTTAGGACATTTGAAATTTCAGATAAAGACGCCAAATGGGCAGAGAGAGAAGTTTCGATCGTCTCGTACGCGACAAACGAGAGGCCAGTGTCCACAGACATCCTCGATGGTCGATCGAGAGGAGGGAGAATAAACGCGATTCACTCTATGACCTAAATGCCCATCCTATATTACCATAATTACAGGCATTTCAGTGTTAATTATGGAGCACGTGGAGGACAGATGATGGAATTAACGTAAACAAAACGGTTGTTGTTGTAACGCTTCTTCGTTGCACGATGTGCATGCATGTTTCCCAAGGCACTGTAATTGAGATTCTGAAATCCTTCTTCCTCACCAATATCCACGTAAATTCCATACTGCGCCATTAAAATACTCCCTCCATTTCTTATTATAAAAGACCAATAACCAAATTACGTTGATAAAAAAACAGTTAAAATTAGTTGAGGACGATTAATATGTAAAAAGTATAATATTTTTTCCAACAATGCCCCTATTAATAAGGAGAGAAAATATGAGAGAGAACAATTAAATTATTAAAAGAAAAAGAAGTGGGACAGAGAGAGAGTATGAGTTAGAAACAATAAATAAGAGTAAAATAGGAAATCAATATAAAAAAATAGAAACAATTTTTAAATGTCTCTTCTATATAAAAACATGTTATAAACATTAAATGTCTCTTATAATAAAAAACGGAAGGAGTATAAAAAAGCTAGAAATTGGGCACAAGGACCAAATGACAAAATATCTGGACTAAGGTTTCAGTTACATATTTTAATAGGAGTAAGGTCCTACTAAAAATATTTAATAAATACGACTGCTGTTTTGCAAAGACGTCCTCGTCTTCTGGTCTTTTTTAAGGTCATCGTTGACGTTCTTTGTCATCATCATCGGAGTTTTGGAAGTTGCAAATTTAGGAGAGAGATTAGAAGTTGCAGGGTTGAAATTGGCAGAAGCTATTTTCGATGGCTGTCTCCGCTTTGGAGGATAACCCAAAAGGTCCGTTTGGATCGGCGGTTAAAAAGTAGTTTATTAAAAAAGTAACTTTTAGAAAAATAAAATTGGGTAAAAGCTAAATTAGATAAGCTGAATTGTGTTTGGATTAGAGTTCAGAAAAGCTAGTTTGTAAAAGTGAGATTGGTAAAAGATTGTTTGGATTATAGTTGAGTAAAAATAAATTTAGTTGTAAAATGACTCAAATGGGTATGAGTTTTAATAAATAATGAAATATGATTAAAAAAATAATTTCACATAATACAATGAAATTAAAATAATTTAATATGAAGAAGTCACAAAAAATATTTTAAATATAAAGTGAAACATGAAAAAATAAAAGTATATTTTTATGAGCATATTTAAAAATAAAAGTATATTTCTAATTTATTCATTACTTTTAACTAATTTTAACTGATTTTTTATTATCTACAAATTAGTTATTTGAGGCTTATAATAAGAACCAAAGGAGGTAATAAATTTCTTAATTTTTTCTCTCTATATTTCAAAAGCTATAAGCCATAAGTTATAAGTCATAAGCTGTTAATTTTAGCTTATAGCTTATTGTAGCTTTTCATACAAAAGCCCGATTGCAGAAAAGTTGATACAAACGGATCCATTGTGTCAATCAGGCTTATAAAGCTTATAAGCTACTTATAAGCTAAAAATAAGTGATGCCAAACAGGCACAAAGGCTTCGATGGCGGCTTTAATGGATGTCGATGGGCGACCTCAACAGCAAAGGAGCGAGGCGTAGGAGATGACTTTCGTTGCTAATTGAGGGTTGTTCGGCGACGGCGGCGAGTTATCTTGGAAAGACCCTGATTAAGTCGAGGAAATTTTTCAGGAAAAAATTGAAATTGAAATTTTATTCGAAAATTTGTGAGATCGGATGCATTTTCAAAATAGATGAAACATATTTTAGGAAAGAAGGGTTGACCCGAAGAAAGATGATTTAAAAAAAAAAATCAAACGAAAGAGTGCTTAACACCCCATCGAAGGTATAATAGCACCGTTCGTCCACCATCTCCGACCACCGTCGACTGCCACGGGTCCGTCATCATTGCTCAACCATTGATTCTGAGCCCTCCCTCTCCTTGTCACCGCTGCTGAACCACAAGCTTCAGTCGCCAAAAGAGTGGTGATCAGTTGTTGAAGATGACAGTGATGAGCGTAGCCCAGGAAGAAATGGCGAGAACCAAACTATTTTATTAAACTCAATAATCTGAATCCATACATTAGAATAGAGAAAAACCCGTTACTTATAGACTTACAAAACTGAAGACTATGGGCTTAATGAGAATAAAGCCCAATCAACTAAAGCCCAACAATACTAACTCTGACACTCCCCCTCAAGTTTGGAGCTGTAAACATTCACAGTTCCTAACTTGCCAAGTAACCTGACTTGATGTTCTTTTCCTACTGCCTTAGTTAACAGATCTGCTTCTTGATCTGTTGACCTCACATGCTGTAATGTAATCAGTCCATCTTGCAACTTCTCCCTCACAAAATGACAATCTATTTCAATATGTTTCGTGCGCTCATGAAAGACGGGATTAGATGCTATGTGAATGGCTGCCTTACTATCACAGTAAACCTTCACAGGTTGTTCATGGTTGATGTTCAAGTCCTTCAATAATCCTTTAATCCAAACAATTTCAGATACTGTTGCTCCCAAAGCTCTGTATTCAGCCTCTGCTGAAGACCTTGATACTGTGTTCTGCTTCTTGGTTTTCCACATGACAGGAGAATCTCCAAGCTTTATCAAATGCCCTGTTACAGATCTGTGTGTTGTTCCACAGGCACCCCAGTCTGAATCACAGAAACATCTTACTTTCAGATCTGGATTAGAGCTAAGAAGAATCCCCAAGCCTGGATCATGCTTCAAATATCGAACCACTCCAAGAGCTGCTGCCATGTGCGCTTTAGTTGGCTGTTGCATGTATTGACTCAGATCCTGCACAACAAAGCTAATATCAGGGCGTGTTACAGTGAGATAGATCAATCTACCTACCAGCCTCCTGTATCTTTTAGGATTTGACAGCAAGTCTTCTTTTTTGTCTTTTCCTTCTTCATAAGCCCTAAGTTTGATATTCTGGCCCAATGGTACTGTCAATGGCTTACACCCACTCAATCCTGTATCAGCAATAAGATCCAACACATACTTTCTTTGTGAAAGGGCAATCCCCTTATGGGATCTTGCCATCTCGATGCCCAAGAAATATTTCATTTCTCCTAAATCTTTGATTTTAAACTTACTGTGCAAGTATTCTACTCTCTGAATTCCCAGTGACTAATAAGTCATCAACATATACTAATATAAGAACAAATGCATCATTAAACCTCTTAATGAACAGGGAGTAATCATGTTTACTTTGCACAAACCCTCCAGCTTTAAGAAGTAAAGTCAGCTTTTGGTTCCATTGCCTAGATGCTTGTTTAAGCCCATATAAGGACTTTTTCAGTTTACACACCATATTCTCCCCTTTGCTCTCAATACCTTGGGGTATGGTCATGTAAACTTTTTCATCTAGATCTCCCTGCAAAAAGGCGTTATTCACATCCATTTGAAATAATTTCCAACCATTCACAGCTGCTAATTTGAGTATCATTCTAACAGTAATCATTTTAACTACTGGTGAAAATGTTTCATGATAGTCAACACCCTCTTTTTGATTATATCCTTTAGCTACCAACCAGGCCTTATATTTATCTATACTTCCATCAGATTTATATTTTATTTTGTACACCCATTTGCATCCTATTGGCTTTTTATTCTTTGGTAATGGAACTATGTCCCAAGTCTGGTTATTTTCAAGAGCTTCTATTTCCAATTGCATTGCCTGTACCCAATTAATATCCTTTACAGCTTCATGATAAAAGGTAGGTTCATAAACAGAATCAATAGAACATAGAAAGGAGAAATGCAAAGTAGAGACATGATCATAAGAGAGATAATTCTCAATAGGGTAAGCACAAGGTTTCTTCTTAGTAGAAGTTACATCAGAAGACAACAAATTGCAAATATAATCATTTGCCCAGATTGGAGGTCGTCTCTCCCTCACTGATCTATTATTTTCTTGTAGCATAGGTTGATTATTAGAGTCCCTTACAGCTTCTGTTTCATTGTCATTAGTTTCAATAATCCTTGTATTATCTTTTTCTACCCTTATTGTATCTTGTTCTATGTCAAAATCGAAAAGAAACACATCCTTAAGTTCCCTATGCACTCCCCCTTGAGCAGTACCCTGTAAATCATGAAAAGGAAATTTATCCTCTAGAAATCTCACATGCCTACTGACAAAGAGGCGACGAGTTCTAATATCAAGCAGAGTGAAACCCTTTTGATTGTTAGGATACCCTAAAAAGATACAGGGGATTGATCTAGGCTGAAATTTATCAGTATTAATGAGATCAGTTGCATAAGCAAGACAACCAAAGGTTTTCAAATTATCAAAATCGGGGGATTTGTTGAACACTCTTTCATAGGGGGTTTTGAAACCAAGTATCTTAGAGGGAACTCTATTAATGATATAGGCCGCTGTCTTAACACACTCTCCCCAATATTTAATTGGTACATGTGATTGAAGCATGAGACTCCTAGAAACTTGCATTAAGGTCCTATGCTTTCGTTCTACAATCCCATTTTGTTCAGGGGTATAAGGGCAGGTAGATTCATGAACAATCCCTTTGTCTTTTAAATATTGTTGTAGATCAAGATTCATAAATTCCATCCCATTATCTGTTCTAATTCGTTTAACAAGAACAGAAAATTGAGTTAAAACATAAGCAATAAATTGTTTTAGATGGATGGCAGTTTCAGATTTATGGCACATTAAGAACAACC